ATTACCATTATTATTATTACTTCAGACTGAGTTAATGAACTGAAAAGGCCAATACTCAATGCAAAAGCAAATTGAAGTTCGTCCGTCCCGTCTCTTTAAAAATTACTACTTTGCAGCTTCTCAAAATTAAAAACAAACCTGTGAAAAAATTATCTAACATTAATATTAATTAATAATATTAAAAATATTGGTATCATTAATAATATTAATAATAAGGGTAATAAAAGTAACAATTATAATAGAAGTAAGAATAATGATGATGGTTGTAATAATAGTGATAAGGCAAAAGAAAAGCGTGAAAGAGGAGGAAAGGGAAGAAACTGTGCATTTTGTTAGGATATAATTTTGAGTTGAAGAGAAAGGAAGTTTTGTTGTTCCAGGCTTGACCGTTTTTGACTATAATATATATTCTTCATGCTCCCTCTTTTCTTTTTTTATTTTTCAGAAGAAGTTTTTTTCTTGTTGTTGTTGGTCTCCCGAAACCTTTTTTGTTTTCTTGAACTCAATTCATATGGGTACCTGTAATTTCAGTGACTTCAGAACATAGAAGATTCTGCTTAATTTTCTAGCAGTACCTATGTGGTCTTCTGCTTCTTTCATGGCAATAGTTTTTTTTTAAGAAGAAAAGAAGATGGCCTATTCTTGAAGCTCAGCAACGGTTTTCCCAGTTTTGTAGAAGAAATAAAAAAGAAAAGATGAATGGAGAAAGAAATAAAATTTTGAGATTCTATAATTTTTTCGATTCCTTTGTAATTTTTATTTCTTTTTTATTCTTAGTATTTTTATAGCTATTTTTCTATTTTCTTAGATAGGCTGTGAACGTTTTAATTCGATACAGCAGAAATGTTACTTTGCTTTTTGTTTTCTCCCTTGCATTCAATAAATTTTTAACTTGAAGCCCAAATGATTTCATTATTATCAGTCATAATTTATTTATTTATTTTTTTTTGTTTTAGCCGGAAGAAATGGAAGCTTGCAACTCGAAGTCTACAAAAATCCCCAAAATATTGCCAGAAGATGGCGAACATGCTGAAGAAACTAAAAAATCACTACCTCTTTTACCAAATGCTATTCCGCTACTTGGCCAGATTCCATCGCTGTCATTTCAGAATCTTCAACTTTTGTTGGCCTATCAAAATTCTCAGGCGCAGATGCCGATGCTTGCAGTTTCACAGCAGTTGTCAAAGTTTGCAGCTTTATCATTATCAGGACCTTTATTATTTCCGTCACAGTATGATTCTTTGAAAGAGCTTTCTTTACCTGTTATGCCTCAGACATCAAATATTTCGGATCCTTCAACCACCAATCTGAGTTTTATCAACAAATTATTGACTGATATGAATTCTGCTGCGCCGTCGGAACCAAGAAGAGTGGAGTCTTGCAACCCAGGTGACTAATTAATCTCTTGGTCAATTCTATTCGCTTTTTATAATTTGCTGTCAGACTTCAAATTTTGGCAAATATTTTTGCTGTTTTCAACACTTTGTTGTAACCTTGTCTTTTGAGAGTGGGGCTTTTGTGTTGAGGGAGGTTAAGGGAAAAGTGGAGGAAAAGCCTTTGGAATCACAGCCTAAGTTTTTTCACTGTATGTTGTTACTTCAGTGTAATCCTTTCTTTCGTTCAAGAACAGCAGCAGGAATGACTTCTTTTTTTGCTAAAAAGGATAATTATACGTTTGGTGTTGCATTTTGTTTCTTTCTAGAAGCTCTTTTGAGCGGTAGGGGAAGACAAGAGGGTTAAGGATAATAGAAAGAAGAATTTTGCGGTCCTCTAAAAGTAAATGGATGAGTTCTTGATTCAGTAACACATTTGATAATGTTTTGGTTTTTGGTAGCAGATTACTATATGAAACTTGGAATAGGGAGAAATTTGAAAAAGCAAGATGGGCAGCATTGTCTGAATTTCGTTTAAGGCAATTAAGAACTCGGTTGTTGCCGATTTCATTGTATCTAGGAAGAAGATAAAGTGGTATAAATTTTTTGAGTTTTATACATTGAGTGAAGGAATTAAGGAAGTCAGCGTGAATTAAAAAGATTTAAAGGAACAAACCAGTAATTATACTTAGTCATATGTTGTTTTAGTGGATCTCGGTCAATGCCGGATTAGTGTATTCTCATTTTGAACAAATACAGCTATTTTAAGGCTGAGATATGATATTATGCGGAGTGCTATTGACTAGTACATTGCAGGCAATTTGTAGTTCAAGGCTTTATCCCATGTGCCATCTAAATGTTTATTTTTATTTAAAATAAATTCAATAAACTGAAGTTTCTTGGAAGTTACAAACATTTGTTCTGACATTTGTGTTTTTTAAAAAGAAAGTGTTAATGTCTAGTGGTTTTGATTGCCATTTCAGCATTCAAGAGAGAGGAACATGTCATGATAACTACGTTTTCAATTTTTTTTTTTTTTTTTTTT